AGGGAAAAGGGCCGTGAGATTCTAATTTGAGCATAGAAAAACACGCGCGGGAATTTGTTTTCGTGCACGCAGGAAACTTAAAACACCATTATATCGGTTTGTGTGACGGAATGGACGCAATAGATCTTGCTATGGACCTCCTTGAACCAACTGAGTTGCTGCCTCCTCCTGTGACTGTTACTCCTCCACCTATGCAACGGCGCCTTATCAACTTGACCAACAATCAACAACACTGTTCTGCACCAACTGCTTCCACATAAGAAAGGGAATGGGAAACTTGCTAAGGGTGCATTGAAGGCAGCAGCGGAGGCCTTCAAAGTTTCCCCTAGAACTTGTGCAAAAATTTGGAAGCGCAATTTAGAAACTCAGGATGATGAAACATGCCCTGCAGGTGATGTGTAAACGTCACAAAAAGTGATCACGGGGTTTGATCGCACCCCCGTGCGCATAGTTTTTGTGCGACCACTTAACACGGGTAATTTATGATTATCAAGCTTGGTGACGACCCCCATTTTGCGATTAATTTTGTGACACATTTCGTTTCACTATCCGCACAAATTTATTCTGCCAGTTTTTGTACCCTCAATCCCTTTTGCACTGCTCGATATTCTTATGTTGTGGGGTTGTGATACACAACCTCAACATTTGCGATGTCTGTACGACCCTTTGACAACAAATTTTGGAATTTAATCTCAAGATTTACACACACAAATAGTATACCTCGATATATGTTATCGGGAATGACCCATTGCTTGACAATGGCACTGCAAACTAATCACAGTACTCTTTTTTCTGCATCTTTGGATATGTCGAACACTGTCAGACAACGACTGGTTGCCGAGATGGAGCTTCCCGAAAAAGGGCACGCGCGAATCGTTAAAAACTCTTATTCTTTTCCCATGAGGAGGTACTACTAGTAGTCAATAGGATAAAATTTCAAGGCTTCGTACACTGAGTACCGAATCAATAGTTACTTTCTTCTTCGTAACCATTGCGAAGATTGTGAAAAATAATACTGAGTCTTGCTCCCACATGGAATATTATCAATATTACTTGTTTCACTTTGATAACGCGCGATCATCGATCTTCTTTTTATCGTTAAATTACTGTATTTTAGGATATCGGAGGCGGTGACGTGGTAGTTTTTAAGACTGAATCCATTGATCATCAAGATCAATGCCATTGGCTCTGATCGTACGGGTAGAGACTCCAGGACCAATCCTACCGTAGTTTAAAAAATAGCAGGTCCCTTCCCTTTTTTGGAGGCTGGGATACGAAAAAGATTTGTGTCATAAAAGAAAACTTTATCTGAATCACTGAAGCTTCCACTGCTAAACAAAATCAACATATGGATCAACAACCACAACCCGTCTCCTCGAATTCCTTCGATGAATTGAACTCTGTCGTGTTTGCAAGAGGCAGAGACATTGACAACCTACCAGGAAATCTTGCGTACAGATCTCTCGCCAGGGAGAGAGCGCAAGAGTACAAGAGCTGTCCCGATAACAGAGCCGGCAATGCCCGGAAGCGTGAAATTGCAAAAGAGATTATGAACGCTTTTGGGAATCGTATCTTTGTAAGGGTTAGAGGTGAATTCCACTTATTGGACGAGATAAAGGCAACGAAAAAGATCATGCAAACCATTAGAGACATGGAGGTACCGGTACGCACGACGAAATTGCATTGTTTGTTGCTTGCACCAGAGCCCTTGCTGACACTTTTGTTGCTGTTGCTGTTCCGTTTTTTTTGTGCCGCGAAGATAAATGGGGTGGTCCAAAGCCATGACCATGGAGACATCGATCACCAACAAATCCCGGTTGCCGAAGATAACAACGTTGATCCTGGTGTAGTGCCAAAAAACGAGAATAATCGTGGCCTCGATCACCAACAAAACCCAGGCGCCGGTGGAAATGATCTGTTCGCGGAAGCAACTCTTCTCGATCTTGGTGTAGTGCCAAAAAACGAGAACAATCGTGGCCTCGATCACCAACAAAACGCGGGCGCCGGTGGAAATGATCTGTTCGTGGAAGCAACTCTTCTCGATCCTGGTGTAGTGCCAAACAACGAGAACAATCGAGGCCTCGATCACCAACAAAACGCAGGCGCCAGTGGAAATGATCNGGAAGCAACTCTTCTCGATCCTGGTGTAGTGCCAAACAACGAGAACAATCGAGGCCTCGATCACCAACAAAACGCAGGCGCCAGTGGAAATGATCTGTTCGCGGAAGCAACTCTTCTCGATCCTGGTGTAGTGCCAAACAACGAGAACAATCGAGGCCTCGATCACCAACAAAACGCNCTGGTGTAGTGCCAAACAACGAGAACAATCGAGGCCTCGATCACCAACAAAACGCGGGCGCCGGTGGAAATGATCTGTTCGCGGAAGCAACTCTTTTCGATATTGATAATCAGAGCACGAAATCTACTTCAGAGTTGACCAATCTGAGCGATGTTACGGAGTTTATTGTAGAATGTGTCTTCGATAATGATGATCAGAGCACG